TATTACAGGGCTGAGTAAGCCTTCACAAGTGGCGACCTTGCCAGGATCAACTCGACTGAATCAAGATTCAACTCCATCTTGAATCTACCATTGGAACTTCAACGCCACATACCACAGACAGTTACCACCAGCCCTGAGTAATCATTCTCTATGGTAGGACTACAGTACAGGTATTTAAAAGATTTGGTGATTGTTATAGTCTCAATTTATTGTAAGTCAAGTCAAGGCAGGATATACTAGTTAATTCTGTCACCTTTATTCTTGAGCTTGAAACAATTCGGAGGAATAGACTCTAGGGACCCGAGATTTTCCAGTGACAAGTTGTTTCATTGAGCTCTTTATTATATCAAGGGAACTGTCATAGGACACTCTTGATTTGTTGGTGAGAAGATTGGATGGTCAAGGGACCCCATTCTACTTACTGTTTGCTCGGAGCTGACATAGAACTCTCCGTTTTCATTCACACATACTGTTTAATCGAAGCAGGGATCGAACCCTCCGATTTATTTACAGTTTGAGCAGAGCAGGAATTGAATCCTCCATTTTCTTTGATATATCCGTTTCATTTTCCCCTGGTAGTTTAAGTTATTCGTGCAAGTATGGAGGAATACCAGTTTTGGATGAGCGCTGGGAGTAAGTTAGGAATAACGGGGAAAAATTTAGAAGCTTTCATTAGTGCTAAGATCCAGGAAAGAATAGAGAAGGAAAGAATTGAGAGAGGAGAAAGACAGTTAGAAAGAGAAAGAGAGGATCAAAAGGAGAGAGATCGAATTGAAAGAGAGAACCAAGAAAGGCAGTTAGAAAGAGAAAGAGAGGATAAAAAAGAGAGAGATTGAATTGAAAGAGAAAATCAAGAAAGAGAAAGAGAGGAGAAAAAGGAGCGTGATAGACTTGATCGTGAGGAGAGAGCTAAAGTACGTGAGGAACAAGTTAAATTAAGAGAACTTGAGGAAAGAGCAAAGGATAGAGAAGTTGAGGAAAGAGCTAAAGACCGTGAGGAAAGAGCTAGAGAATGTGAGGAAAGAGCTAGAGGACATGAGTTAAGAGAGAGAGAAAAAGATGGTGAGCTCGAAAAATCTCGCCTTGAATTAGAGAATAAAAAGTTAACTTTTACACAACAACAATTAGCGGAAGGAGTAATTGAACATCATGCAGCTAGTGCACATATTCCAACACCTAATTTACCTCCCTTCACAGAGGGTGAAGACATTACTTCATACATTATCAGGTTTAAAAATACCGCTACCCTCTGTGAATGGCCAGCTGACACCTGGACTACCAGGTTAGGTATGTTATTTTCTGGTACAGCTTTGAATATCTATGCAACTTTGTCACAGGATATCATATGTAATTATAACCTACTGAAGAAGGCAATCCTTAAAGCATATCAAAAAACCACAAATTCTTATAGGAAAGATATCAGGTATGCCACCTTACAGCATTGCCAAAACTTTCAGTTCAGGAATAGAGAGCTCAGGATAGAGAGCTCAGGAAATGATCACAGTTATGAATCTCTTCGAGACTTCATGGTTGCTGACCAGTTCCTGACAGCTCTTCCTCACCAGATATGAACATTCATTAGAGAATGTAACCTGATTAAAGCTGATGAAGTTGCTGAGGCCACTGACTTGTATGCTGAGGCTCACAATTCCTATAAAGACCTAAAGGGATTGAACCCTAAGGGCAAGGGTTCACCAGATCTTAAGAAATCAAAGCCTCTAGTGGAAAACAAACTAACTTCTTTTATTCCTGTTTGTCATTTATGTGGTGTTAAGGGACATAAACGTCCTGATTGTCCTTCCAAGAAAATAGAGAAAGTTGGTAGATGTTTTGTTGACGGTAATGACCAAGCACCCTTCTGTTCAGGAGCAGTTAATGGTATAAAAGTCTCAGACATATTACGTGACACTGGATGTACGTGCATCATAATTTCGGACAAACTGTTCCCTTACTTTAAAACCTCTCGTGTGTCCTCTATTCTTTCAGACTACTTAGATCGTGAAAATACTTTCCCAACAATACGTTGTTACTTGAAAACTAAATGGTTCACCGGTTGGACTAATGCGGTACTAGCCCCAATTACTTGTTCTATAATAGTGGGTAACATTAAAGGTGCCATTCTTCCTTCGGAGGCGGATCTTTCATCACCACCCATGGATCTAAGTTTTCCAGCTCCTCTTCCTTGCAAGTTAAATAAGCCCCTTAACAATTCCGCACCGGAAGCTACATTGTCTCGTACTGTTCATTTGGGGGTAGAAACAGTTGATACTGCTCTTGATAGTGAGGTAGCAGGATCACCTGTCCACTCGTCAGGTGAAAGTAAGGGTATTGCCTCCTGCACTCTCAATGTCTTGACTAGGGCTCAGATCATAACCCCGGCTTCTCCTACCTCCTCTCCTCCCACTGTAAGTCCTTTTATTTCTCCGGATTTTATGTTCAAGGATGACTTTGTCAATTTACAGCGCGATTGCCCTTAACTTCGGGATTGTCATAATCAAGCTTTTAACAAGAAAGTTATCCATGGGAGATACGTATCTCATAAGTTCGAATATATTAATGGTATCTTATATAAATCTGTATTTAAATCTCATTCTTCAGCGATAGATTATTCCCTCCTTGTTGTTCCTAAACCATGTCGAGAGACTGTTCTTCAAATGGCTCATGATTTGCCAGTGACCAAACACTTGGCCCATCGTAAGACATGGCATAAACTCAAGCACACTTATTTTTGGCCAAGCATGTACTCTCAGGTTACAAAGAAGTATAGTTCTTGCAATAGGTGTCAGGTGCTTGCTGCACAAAATACACACTCCTTGTTCCTGTATATTTATTAAATCTAAAACTTCCCTCCTGCAGAAACGAGATACTCCACCATAGAAAAGGAATGTTTGGCCCTTGCGTGGGGTATCTCCAAACTTAAATTTTATTTACTGGGAAAAGAATTCATTTTAGACAGATCACAAACCTTTGATATACCTAGAAACTTTTAAGGGAACCAACAGTCGCCTCTTGAGGTGGACTCCAAGCTTTTAAGTTCCATATTGTGTATATCAATGGTTCATCCAATTATTTCTCTGACTGGTTAAGTTGTGACAGTCAGTAGAAGATTTGTTGCCTTACGCGACTTCCACATTTTAGAACTTTTTCCTCGCCTATTCTTCTTATACTCCTTGACTATAAGTCTTGGAATGGGGGAGTGTGAGGGAAAAGTTCAACAGATAGGAGTAGCAAGCAAGTATATGGTGACAATAGTTAGATTGCCGGCTGCTTGTTAAGGTAGGGTCAGTCTAGCTCCTGCTATCCCCTCCCCCCCCCTTTCTCCCCACCCCGTAAGGTGACGTGTGGGGCTCCGGCCAAACAGTAATCACTTGACTCACAGCTCCCAGCACAACTGTAAGTAAAAGCCTGCTCCTATTCTAGTGGACTTATTGGTTGAAAGCTTCACTTTTGACCAATAATAAACTTAATCCTTTCAGCCTTGATCTCCATGTTAGATGTTTTGATAATCACCATGTCTTTTAGGTATTGTACTTATCATGGAGAGTGATTTCTTAAGCAGTGGGTAACCTGTCTCTCTTTCCAGCTTGGAATGACAGATCAGGTCACCTGCCAACCAACGAGAAGTGTTGAAGGAGAAGGACTTTTGCAAAAGTCTGGAGACGTCACTTGTTGGATCTACCTACCTGATTAACTGTAGGCGACAGCAGACAATAGCCCCTCATCTTTGTAGTGGTAAAGAACCTGCTTTCCTGTCATCTGGACTGACAATTCAAGGCTATAGACTCTGTGAAGAACTAGCCGTTGGGTTGTCACCAACACCTGTGACCCCCCCCCCACATCATCAGTAATGGCTACAATTTCTACAAGACGGTGTCAGCCTCCACCAGACACCCAAGTATAATTGTACATATTAGCGTTGAATTCAAATGTCATTTTTTCATTTCATTTTTCATTTTTCTTTCAAATAGGATACACCTTCATGTTTCACTGTTTTATCTTTGCATTAATAAATAATAAAGTGTTTATCTTTGTGAATTATTATTTCTTTTTCTATTCATTAATTTTCCTGAGGAGGAGCCAGCCTTGGCAATACTGTCTGAAGTTGTTACAGGGCTGAGTAAGCCTTCACACTCCCCATCAACCCCAGCTGTTTTACGTCCATTCTACCCACTGCCTCACTCACTTCACATCTGGCTCTTCCTCACTCCTACAAGATGTTATACTTCCCTGCCCAATGCATGAAATCACAGCTTCCCTATCTTCATCAACATTTAACAGTTCCTCAAAACATTTCTTCCATCTTCCCAATACCTCCAACTCCCCATCTACTAATTTCCCTATTGTGTTTTTAACTATAATGTCCATTTGTTCCCTAGGCTTTCTTAACCACATACATATACTGCATATGTTTTCATTGGCACTGCATTTACTTAAATCTGTAGGGGAAGGAAGGCGGGGTAGGGGTCGTCCTTGAAAAGGTTGGAGGGAGGGGGTAAAGGAGGTGTTGTGGGCGAGGGGTTTGGACTTCCAGCAAGTGTGCATGAGTGTGTTAGATAGGAGTGAATGGAGACAAATGGTATTTGGGACCTGACGATCTGTTGGAGTGTGAGCAGGGTAATATTTAGTGAAGGGATTCAGGGAAACCGGTTATTTTATATAACCGGACTTGATTCCTGGAAATAGGAAGTACAATGCCTGCACTCTAAAGGAGGGGTTTGGGACATTGTCAGTTTGGAGAGATATATTGTGTATTTTTATACGTATATACTTCTAAACTGTTGTATTCTGGGCACCTCTGCAAAAACAGTGATTATGTGTGAGTGAGGTGAAAGTGTTGAATGATGATGAAAGTATTTTCTTTTTGGAGATTTTCTTTCTTTTTGGGTCACCCTGCCTCGGTGGGAGACGGCCGACTTGTTGAAAAAAAAAAAAAGTGTGCATTTCTAATAATCCTTTGATTTAATATGTTTATGGTGTTTCTTTGTAATTGTATCTTTCAGATCACTTGGAAGCAAGGCATCAAGCCACTTTTCTTGGGTGGCTTAGATGTGGCAAACATTCCTGGATTGCTAGTGTCATATGATGGAGAATTAATACTAGCTAAGGGCCCCCATAAAGATATTCGAGATAATGACACTTATGTCTGTTTTGTTGACACATTCGATGATGAAATTGCCATTGCTACATATCATGTCCGTTTAAGTGGGGATGGTAAGTTACAGTCACCTTTCTTATAAAGAAAGCCCTTCTATATGAGCAATTTTCCATAAATGTGATTGAAAAAGTGAATAAAAAATTTAATAGTGCATTCTATGAAGACCTTTCCGTGCTCTATTCAGTTTGGATGTGGTTTATCAATTGCATTTACAAAAAATTGCTCTATATACAGGAGCTTTATAAGAGGGCTGACTTTAATAAATTAGTTTGGAAATTGTGAAGTACATATATGTATCTAATAAATTACAGTAGTACCTCGAGTTAAGAACTTAATTCATTTCAGAAGGCTGTTTGAGTGCTGATAGCGAATGAATTTGTTCCCATAAGGAATAATGCAAATTAGATTAATCCGTTTCAGATCCCCAAAAATACACTTACAAAAGCACTTACAAAAATACAGTGTACACTTACATAATTGTTCGAGTTGGGAGCTGTTCGAAACTCGAGGTACCATTGTACTAGAACATTTAACATTGTGTTATGGTATTTTATGTTATTTAACTTTTAAACTCTTCTCTTATTAACTCCAGAATTAGTTTTCACACTGAAGCATTGTACATACAATGTATGTACAATGCTACACTATATCATATAAGAAAAATAAAGATGTGGTGTTTCAGAATGCTCAGAGTTTCAGCATTCATATACTCCAGAGTTCCCCTTCCACCTACTTTGATAGAGAATAGAGGAGGGCCCCATTTGTATGGCTCCTAGGTTCTTGGCGCCTTGTGATAAGTGAAAATTGCCACCAGGTGGAAAAGAGTGGTTTTTTCATTGTCAAATGCATCTAAAATGCCTGATAATGTATTTGCACTCACATATTAGTGCTCAATACAGCTAGGCATATAAACAGATAAAAAAGTAAAATAAATACACAGCTGAAGCAGTGACGTCACAACAAGTTGCGTGCCATTATTCATATAAAGTGAAGTGTATATAATGTGAAGTGTATACTATCATAAGTGAAAAGTAAAATCACGTGAGAAACGAGGGATGTATGAGCATATATGGTTATAAACATCACGGGTGAAGGATCTCCAAAATAGTGATAGAAGGCCTATGTACGACGACTACGTCATCAGCATCTGGCAACCTGTCACCGCACCGCTGCCAGCGCAAGTATTGCTCATCTATTGTGGTTACATGTCAGATTCTGGATCTCTGCATCACTGTTAGATACTGGTCACTCACTCCTGCAAGCTATTACCAGAATTAGGGTAGAAATAGCATAGATAAGGTGAAGATAGTGTTGACGAGAGTGTGAGGTGTAGAGCAGACTAGCGAGGGGTAACGTAGTATTACTACCAGTAGTTATTTGCAGTATGAATACTTAGGAAGCTAGGAAGTCCTCTCTCAATGTGAGCAAGGAATAGGATAATAACCAGCAGTAACTGATACTTAAATCCAGAAAGGGCAATAAGTGGAGAGAGTAGCATTACTAGGAAAGACAACTGGGACTAAATTTGAGCCTACACGACAGAGAGGTATAACAGATCTTTCAACCACAACAACCCCTCCCCTACCCCCCTAACAATCTCTCCCTCACACACACATACACACAAGCACGTCAAGAAGTTAGAGAAAGTACAAAGGTTTGCAACAAGGCTAGTCCCAGAGCTCAGTGGAATGTCGTACGAGGAAAGGTTGAGGGAAATCAGACTGACGACACTGGAGGACAGAAGGGTCGGGGAGACATGATAACGACATACAAGATACTGCGGGGAATAGACAAGGTGGACAGAGATAGGATGTTCCAGAGAGGGGACACAGGGACAAGGGGTCACAACTGGAAGCTGAAGACTCAGACGAGTCACAGGGACGTTAGGAAGTATTTCTTCAGTCATAGAGTTGTCAGGAAGTGGAATAGCCTAGCAAGTGAAGTAGTGGAGGCAGGAACCATACATAGTTTTAAGAAGAGGTATGATACAGCTCAGGAAGCAGAGAGAGAGAGAGGACCTAGTAGCAATCAGTGAAGAGGCGGGGCCAGGAGCTGAGTCTCGACCCCTGCAACCACAATTAGGTGAGTACACACACACACACAAGGGTAGACACTTAAAGAAGCTTTAGATCCTAGTACCAATTTCTGCCAAACACACGAACACACACACACATATGCACACATATACACACATACACACACACACACACACACACACACACACACACACACACACACACACACACACACACACATACACACACACACAAACACACACACACAAACACACACACACACATACACACATACACACACACTGTGCTTCGACTACATAGTTGAGCTCCAAGTGGAGAGAGTAGCAGGAATAGGCTGGGAAAAACCAAACTACAAAAGGGGAAACTACTCAGGCATGAGGAACTTCCTTCAAGACATTCAGTGGGATAGGGAACTGACAGGAAAACCAGTACAAGAAATGATGGACTATGTAGCAACAAAATGCAAGGAGGCAGAGGAGAGGTTTGTTCCCAAGGGAAACAGAAATAATGGGAAGAACAGAACGAGTCCTTGGTTCACCCAAAGGTGTAGGGAGGCAAAAACTAGGTGTACTAGAGAATGGAAAAGGTACAGAAGACAGAGAACTCAGGAAAATAAAGAAATCAGCTGAAGAGCCAGAAACGAATATGCACAGATAAGAAGGGAGGCTCAGAGACAATATGAAAATGACATAGCATCAAAAGTAAAGACTGACCCGAAGCTGTTGTACAGCTACATCAGGAGGAAAACAACAGTCAAGGACCAGGTAATCAGACTGAGGAAGGGTTATGGGGAATTCACAAGAAACGACCGAGAGGTTTGTCAGGAGCTCAACACAAGATTTAAAGAGGTATTTACAGTGGAAACCAGTAGGACTCCAAGAAATCAGAACAGTGGGGCACACCAGCAAGTGCTGGATGAGGTACATATAACCAAGGAGGAGGTGAAGAAGCTGCTATGCGAACTTGACACCTCAAAGGCGGTGGGACCAGACAACATCTCTCCATGGGTCCTTAAAGAGGAGCAGAAATATTGTGTGAGCCATTAACAAAGATCTTCAACACATCATTTGAAACTGGGCAACTCCCTGAGGTATGGAAAATGGCAAATGTAGTCCCAATTTTTAAAAAGGGAGACAGACATGAGGCACTAAACTACAGACCTGTATCACTAACGTGTATAGTATGCAAGGTCATGGAGAAGATCATCAGGAGGAGAGTGGTGGGGCACCTGGAAAGAAACAAGTGTATAATTGACAACCAGCACGGTTTCAGGAAGGAAAATCCTGTGTCACAAACCTACTAGAGTTTTATGACAAGGTGACAGAAGTAAGACAAGAGAGAGAGGGTGGATCGACTGCATATTTTTGGACTGCAAGAAGGCCTTCGACACAGTTCCTCACAAGAGGTTACTGCAAAAGCTAGAGGACCAGGCACACATAACAGGAAAGGCACTGCAATGGATCAGAGAATATCTGACAGGGAGGCAACAACGAGTCATGGTACGCGACGAGGTGTCAGAGTGGGCGCCTGTGACAAGCGGGGTTCCACAGGGGTCAGTTCTAGGACCTGTGCTGTTCTTGGTATATATGAATGACATAATGGAAGGGATAGACTCAGAAGTGTCCTTGTTTGCAGATGATGTGAAGTTAATGAGAAGAATCAAATCGGACGAGGATCAGGCAGGACTACAAAGAGACCTGGACAGGCTACAAGCCTGGTCCAGCAACTGGCTCCTTGAATTTAACCCTGCCAAATGCAAAGTCATAAAGACTGGGGAAGGGCAAAGAAGACCGCAGACACAATATAGTTTAGATGGCCAAAGACTGCAAACCTCACTCAAGGAAAAAGATCTGGGGGTGAGTATAACACCGAGCATATCTCCTGAGGTGCACATCAATCAGATAACTGCTGCAGCATACGGACGCCTGGCAAACCTACGGATAGCGTTCCGATACCTCAGTAAGGATTCGTTTAAGACTCTGTATACCATCTACTTCAGGCCCATACTGGAGTATGCAGCACCAGTTTGGAATCCACACCTAGTCAAGCATGTCAAGAAATTAGAGAAAGTGCAAAGGTTTGCAACAAGACTAGTCCCAGAGCTACGGGGATTGTCCTATGAAGAAAGGTTGAGGGAAATCGGCCTGACGACACTGGAGGACAGGAGGGTCAGGGGAGACATGATAACGACATATAAAATACTGCGCGGAATAGACGAGGTAGACAAAGATGGGATGTTCCAGAGATGGGACACAGACACAAGAGGTCACAATTGGAAGTTGAAGACTCAGATGAATCAAAGGGATGTTAGGAAGTATTTCTTCAGTCATAGAGTAGTTAGGCCATGGAATAGCCTAGAAAGTGATGTAGTGGAGACAGGAACCATACATAGTTTTAAGGCGAGGTATGATAGAGCTCATGGGGCAGGGAGAGAGAAGACCTAGTAGCAATCAGCGAAGAGGCAGGGCCAGGAGCTGTGACTCGACCCCTGCAACCACAAATAGGTGAGTACAAATAGGTGAGTACCCTTACTAGGCGAGTACACACACACACATATACACACACATGCACATACACACACACACACACACACCCGTAAGGACTCCATTATCAAGCGGTCACTCTACCCTCAGCCTTCTCTTCCCCTCCCCTCCCCTTCTAATCCCATCATACACACACACACCTCCCCTGCTTCTAGGGGTCACTCTACCCTCATCCTTCTCTCCCCCTCCCCCCTTAATCCCATCCCTCTCTCTCCCACACGTGCACACACAATATGAAGTTCAACGATGAGAAATTTCAATTACTCAGATATGGTAAACATGAGGAAATTAAATCTTCATCAGAGTACAAAACAAATTCTGGCCACAAAATAGAGCGAAACACCAACGTCAAAGACCTGGGAGTGATCATGTCGGAGGATCTCACCTTCAAGGACCATAACATTGTATCAATCGCATCTGCTAGAAAAATGACAGGATGGATAATGAGAACCTTCAAAACTAGGGGGGCCAAGCCCA